GTTTGTGCTAAAGTACATAAGTCATGAATACTAATCCTTCCGTTTGACTTTTGCGCTAGACAACACACGACTTTGATTATTATTATATTTAAATGGCTATCAGAAAAAATATTTTAATAGTTCACATTGAGACAAGTAAAAAATATTAACACGACTTTATCGCTTTTCATCTTATCACTTACTCGTATATCTTATGTTATATTTATCTCTATCTTATCTTTTTTTAATCCTTTTCTATCTTACCTTATCTTGTTATCTTTCTTATCTTTCTTCCGATTTTATGTGTCGATTCATGTTAGCCGACCCCAAACTCTTTTGGGACTAAGGCTTGGATGCTGTTGTTGTATTAACCAATAGAATATAGTCAAAGTAGAGTTTGTGAATAGTGTAAAATTCAACATGTTGCAATTAATAAAGAATGGATGTAGTACTTATATATCAGAAACATTTAATGGTTTACCTAAGTTCATCATATTAAACCTGGAAGTTATTCAAAGTATACATTTTCTGTAAAGAAGTATCCTTATTTGTTTAAACAAGACTCTTTTGGGGCAAAAAAGATTTAAACACAGGACTCTTGTTGTGGGACTGAGGCAGTACTTCTTAATATCTCATATTGTGACGGTTTACCTTAACAACTTGATGTAACAGCTTGGCTTCATGCTGCTTGCTCTGATCTGGGAGTTCGATTTTCCACCTTTCATGGTGCTGATCATTGCAATTCTAAATGATGGTTAGATCTCCGTCACTTTGTTTATCTGGTTAATACAAATAGATGTAGCAGTACAAATAAATTACCGGGTGCTAGATAGGTGTCCGTGTTTGTGATAATAATCAATGAGATGGAACATGATCATGTAGTAGCCAAATAATAAATCTAGATAATATTGTTTTTAAAAGGTAATCGGTAGTAAAGTCTTTCTATCATTAATATTTTTGACGGGAATTGTAGGTACTATTGATTTTACATCTCTTCAATGATATCTTTGTGATGTATTTTTTTTATCTAACTGTTGCATCGAATCGCTTAGGTACTATAATGACTATTTCGAAAGATAGGGTGAAGCCATCTCCTCTTCCTGACAGTTGGAAACTGGCTGAGATCTTTGCGACTGGCATTATTCTTGGTGGTTACTTGGCAATGATGACAGTCATATTCTTCTGGGCAGCATACAAAACTGACTTCTTCCCGGTAAGTAAATCTATATCTAGACATCCAAGGTTCTTAAGCTTTTTACAAGTGCAGGCGCTATGCTTGGCACATGGAGCTGAAAGCTGCATGATAAAATGTGTATAAATTTTAAGTGTTCGGTTTAGTTGCCAACTCATAACATATCAATTATAAAAATGAAAATTATAGAACAAGGTTTTAATGAGAAGAGGGTCTAAGATGTTATTTTAAAAAACAATTGGGTTGTTAGTGGAAACTTTAATGAAGTGCTATAGTAGATAACATTTGAAGTATGCCCATTTTTTGTTGTGATCCATTATATTTTTTACCAAATGGAATGTATTTCTTGTTAATAGCTTAAACTAATTCTATGATCCAAAATAAGATTTTAACAAACAGAACAAGCCCTAATTTACTTTTAGTGTTTACTAGATCTTTCAGTCATTATGATTTGCTTGAGTTTGAATATAATAATCCCATATACTCACTTTTTGATATGCATAGTTGCATACTTTGTCCTTCTGTTATAAAGTCAATACTGGCAACAACTCTTGGCTGGAACGGTGCTATTGAAGTTTGTCCACAGCTATATATTGAACTGATTTTCAAAAAAGAAAACAATAACATTTTTTTGTGTGTTAAAAAGACAGATTAATGTTTGAGTATCTTGACAAAATCCCGATTTTGGGTTAGTTGGCTGAGAATTGGCAAGCTATCAAGTGCTTTCTACGCTTTTCAAAAATTAAACGCATCTCCTCCCTCTTATTCTTTGTGAATTTATAAAGTAACTTATTAGTTACCGTGAGTTGGCAGAGAACATTTGGTGTAGCCACTCTAGAGAAAACGGCTCATGATGACTTCAGGAAGCTTGCATCTGCAATCTACCTTCAAGTGAGCACTATCAGCCAGGCCCTGATATTTGTCACACGATCTCGTAATTGGTCCTTTATTGAGCGCCCTGGTGTGTTGCTTGTGGTTGCTTTTATCATAGCTCAACTGGTAAGCTATTAACATTTCTGACTTCCTCTTCGATTATCAATGAAAGCATCATCACCATTCATACCCTAAAAGTTTATGTGTTTTTGCAAACTACAACAATAGGTTGCAACTCTCATTGCTGTATATGCCAACTGGAGTTTTGCTGCAATTGAAGGAATAGGATGGGGATGGGCTGGGGTTATATGGCTGTATAACCTTGTGTTCTATATACCGCTTGATTTCATAAAATGCATCACCCGCTATGCTCTTAGCGGGAAGGCCTGGGATTTGGTTCTTGAACAAAGGGTAAGCAGACCATATTGTTTTTTAGAAGCAAGAAGACCATACTGTAACACTAGAAAAATTATGAGTTTCTTCAAAATGTCTGTCATTTGAGTTATTCCACCTGTCCACCAAAGATTTGCCATTTTTACAGTAAAAACATTAATCTTTTACCAATTTATATTGTATACAAAAATGGTTTATAATGTGAAAGTAATGTAAAATGTCATTTGTTAAAAATAGGAGTACAATTTTTTTCATAATCACTAAAATATTTAGATCAAAGCATTGTTAAAGATAAACATCTTTTACCAATGAGTCAAATACGACAATTCTTTCTGGTACGGAGGGAGTAGGGGTGCAGAAGGTTTCGGTTCAGAACTGAGGTTTCGGTTCAGAACTGAGAACCCTAACCAGAACTGGAAAAAGGGGAACCACCAAACTGGAGGGAGACCGTCCCTGATTCCATATCTTGGGTGCCAAAACTGGTGGTTCTGGTTCCAATTTAAAATTTTTATATATGGAGGACCAAACCAGTTATGGTTCGGTGGTTCCCCCTTTTCTGGACTAGCAGTTTGGGAACCGTAACTGGTCTGTTTCCAAGCCTAAGGTGGGAGTGAGGGAGTATATGTATATTGGTGTTTGATTTGGGGGTCTTCCCTTTGTTCTGCAGATCGCTTTCACCCGGAAGAAGGATTTCGGGAAAGAACAACGTGAACTGCAATGGGCCCACGCGCAGAGAACTCTGCACGGGCTCCAAGTTCCAGACACCAAATTGTTTAGCGAAGCAACCAATTTCAACGAGCTTAACCAGTTGGCCGAGGAAGCAAAGAGAAGGGCCGAAATCGCAAGGCTGCGGGAGCTACACACATTGAAGGGACACGTGGAATCGGTGGTGAAACTGAAAGGTCTTGACATAGAGACGATCCAGCAAGCTTATACTGTTTGAGTGGGGAGCATATAGAGAGACAGAGAGATAGACGGACGGGGAGCGGTTTAACTGGTGGTGCCTTGGGGTGTGTGATTAGAAGAATAATCATACCATCAGTTCTTTTTCCTTGAGAATGCCTGCCAAACTCGGCTATGTTTTGCTCTCTTAGTGCTTCTGCTGCATCTATTATTTTTATTATATGTTTTCAATTGCTTTCTCCCTCTTGGAACCATAAACTTTGAACAGCATAACAGTGCTCTGAATAGGGAGTGGGAAGCATGACATTGTGCTGAAGTATATTTTTATTGTTAATATACATTCCTAAACTCCTGATTTTAGGCTATTCAGTTCGTTCAATTTATGCGTTTTTTCTTCTATGGTACGTTTATTTCTTTGATGTTTGAAATGCTCTAATTTACATAACGTATGCTTAGTATTTGGTGCATTATACTCATATTTGAACAAGCAATAATTGATTCTTTAGTTTACCTGCAAGGCTGCAATGATATTTTCTCCCCTCACGAAACATTATAATTTTTCAAACATGAAACTGTTTCTGGGAAGGCCCGTGAGTGAAGAAAATCACAGTACAGTACTACTGATCAATTGAATAATAAATGAATGGTTCAAACAGCAGCTGCTATCCTTTGCAACTCAATTTCTTCACTACCATTAATATCACCTCTTTGCTCCAATTCTGTCATAAACCTTGATCGTGAATTCTCCATGGCTCTAGACTCTGTTACATCTTCCTTGCTGCTACTGGTAACAAAACTGCTAGCCACTAAATTGTAATACAAGAAGTTCAGGCCTGCAATTGCAGCGATTATGTAGTAGTAATACTCCAACCTGTTCTTGTTCAAATCATGCCCGCCCAGCCACGGACTTCTCCCCTTCCTCTTCGTTGCGCTGTGTATCACGTTCACCAAAATGGAGCTCAGGTAGCTGGCGAACGACAGGCTCAGGAAAAAAACCGAACCTGCCAAGCTTCTCATGTTCTCCGGGATCTCCGTGGTGAAGAACTCCATTATGGCGACGGCAGCCAGTGCCTCCGTCAAGCCAGACAGCACAAACTGCGGCAGCAGCAACGCGAAGGAGAGCGGTGACTCGAACGCGTGGTGTTTCAGGGCTGAAGCTCGCCGCTTCTGCTCCACCACCGCGGCCGAGAGCATGCAGAGTATGGACATGAAGATGCCGGCCCGGATCCGTTGACTTGGGGTCAACCTGCATGCATGGTCGTCATCCCCTATTCTTCCCGAGATTTTCTTGAAGGTTACGACGTATACCCTCTCATACACCAAAATCCAGATGCTTAGTGCTATCATGGAGGTGATTCCCATCCAGGCGGGCGGGACCTTGAAACGGGTCGACCCGAACAGGACTGATCGGTTCATTTGGATCGCTTGCAAGGTCCCGAATGAGGCCTGTTGGTCCATCACGAGGAAGCAGCCCAGACCCGAGACCCAAACCGGGATTATCCCGATCAAACACTTCAACTGCTCCACCTGCTGAACGCTGCACAACCTCCACGTGTTCCTGGGATTCCCGTCCTCATCCAATTCACCATCCATGATAACCGCCGCCTTGTTCAGAAACAAGAACCGTCCAGTCGGTGGCAATTTTGTCGTCATTTCCGCTGTCCGAGGAGGTGGGTCATAATATGAATGACTTTCCTCCTCTAATAGGGTGCGGCTCGGTCGACCCAGCCACACGCGGCGTTTGAGGAAAGACGCGGTGATGACTTTGGCGAGGTCAACGAAGACGCTGCCCTGCGGCGGCTTGTGAATGTAAGTGTGGCGGCCGATCAAGAAAATGGAGATGGAGCAGAGGAGGCAGGCGGTGGGGATGGCGAAGCCGATGGTCCAGCTGATCTCGGTCTGGATGTAGATAACGGCTGTGAGAGCGAGGAGAAGGGCGATGGTGAAGGAGAAGTACCACCAGTTGATGAAGCTCTCGAGCTGCGACCTGCCCTTGGCGGTGTCAGTGTCGAACTGGTCGGCGCCGAAGGCGATGTTGCAGGGGCGGATGCAGCCGGAGCCCAAGGAGAGGAGGGCGAGACCGGCGTAGAGGACGGCCAGCTGCCACCCGTGGGGTTGCACGCACGCATGGGAATGGTCGTCTTCGTCTTTGCATGGGGGCGGCCTTAGTTTTGAGACACCAGCGGTCAAGGTCACAATTCCCATACCCTGTTGTGACACATGTAATACACCAATTTAAATCAAATGCAAAAGACAAAAAAGGAAAAAAATTATTAAACAGGAGTAAAAAAGTTTTGAAATTCCAAAATAGAGTTTTTCATATTTTTATTACCTAAATAAGAGTAACATTTGTCAAGTTTGACATTATCAAACTTTTAAACATGACGGTTTTTGTCAAGTTTTTTCTAAATGCAAAAATGATTCAAAAAGTTTTTACTCCTATTCTGGACAATTTCTAAAAAAAACTTGTCATATTCTGAGTTTAAGCTAAAACTGATTTTGGGATTTTTTGAAATGAGAATAATTCTTCAATATTTAAAACTCTTTTAAAATTTATATAGTACTTCCATCCCAAATTGTTTTATGTTTTGGTCAACCAATGTTAAAAAGTTAAATCATCCTTGATGCTTGGTTTACTTTAGCAAACCTTATTATGCACCAAAATGTAAGGTTTAAAAAAATAATTAATTAAGTAACGTGAAATATGCAATTCAAGTGCAGGTACGAACCGTAAGAGAGGAAAGGGAGCCGCAGAAGAGGGTGAGGAATCTGCCGAAATAGGCATCGGACACAAAAGCTCCGGCGAGGGTAGAGATGTTGGAGGTGCCGTTCCATATACTCACCACGTTAACCAACTCCACTCCTTCCAGGTTGTATTTCGTGCGTAAGTACACCGTCATGTTCCCTACCAAACTCATCGACGCCAGCTTCTCGAACGCTTCGTTCCCTACAGATCCATTGTATACATGAATGCATAATTCATCACATATGCATGTATCTATGATATGAATGTATGATCATCGGCCAGGGTAGAGCCGGTCAGGAACCGAGAATGCCTATGATGAAAAGCAATTATACTAGATTTAAACATTAGCGTGATGGGCTTCAGCCTAGCATAACGCTTATATAGATCATCCCTTGGAGCTCAGGCGCTCGGCCTCCCAAATACTCTAGTACATGCATATATACATACTATACTACAAAATCTACAATTATGCATAAGCATATTTAGTAGCTTAATTTGACTCCAGCAAAATTATTGGACCAAAACAAAACAAAGAAATGGAATTAGTGATGGATCGGAGTAAGTAGCTAGCTAGGGATCGTGCGTATAGCACATACCAAGGATGTACTTGATAGCTCCCCATCCTCCGGCGGCTGAGGATGTTGTAGAGGTGGTGATGATGGTGTTGTGTTCCCCTCCGGCGGCGGCTCCTATATGACCCTGCATCTCCATTTCGGTCTCTCCCATATCATCACTGATCAGCTCTAACGAACCCATGGATGGATGGATATGATCGATCGTCTATCACTCTCATGCATCATGCTCCTTCACATGTACCAGTACCACTCGCTGTATTTGTAGGCATGCTTATAGGATCCATCTTCTTCAATGCATGACTTGGTCATCACTCATCATCATATCGCCTTCAATGCAATAATTACAACCCCCTTAATTATTAGAGTCTTAGAGATAAATATTCTACTAGTATGAGTTAATACTTCCTCCGTTCTTAAATAAATGCAACAGTCAACATTTCACATTTGCCGAGACACAACTTTGACCATTAATATATATAATTCCCGATTAGTAAAAAAAAGTTTAAAAAATAGATTTTGAAAATTTATAATGCGAAAAATTTAATAATATTTTTTTCAAAAATATATATTATTACATTAATAAATAAAATGTAGTCAAAGTAGAACATGTGAATAGTGCAAAAAGTCTAACGTTGCATTTAAAAGAGAACGGAGGTAGTATTAATTATTTCAATGATTACTTTATTATTTATTGTCTTAATTAGTTATCTTCTCCGCTACTCGTAGCATACTACAGAAATTGTCACATTTTTTGATGATAAACACCTTATATTAAGAAATAATTACATAAATATGACTAAAATAAAGATGATTTACACAAATAAGAGTAGTTACTAGAGTAGTAATGAAATCATAGTAGTTCATGTTCAAGTTTTGAACTTAAGTTACCACAACACTACGTTATAGTAATGAATAATCATATTTATGTAAATAAATTTTATTTTAGTAATATTCTTGTAAAAAACCCTTATATTAATGGGAGAATTCCTCATATAGAACTAAATGAATCTTTAATTACCAAAACAGGACTGTAACTTCAAAATCTCTAAATAGGATCAACTTTCCAATTCTACCCTTGCTTTGTTTGAGTACAATTCATATTTCATTGAAATATGTAGGTCTATGCGCGCTGGCACCTCAACAACCTCCCAACATCACCAGCTTCGATCACAAGAAAAAGTACCAACATGTGTCATAAGTATCTTCATGCCAGTTTTTGAGATTTTTTTATATTTTTATAAAGTAAGGATGTTTTACTTGGACATTAATCTGTACTAGACCAAACTAGACCATACTTGGATAGTTATAAAAATACAAAGAGACCTGACATTACCAGACCAAACCAGTTCAGACCAGATCAAACCAGACCAGCATATTACGGTCCAAGTAAAAACATCCTAAACAGCAATCTTCATGCCATTTTCAGAGAAAAAATGGCCGGTTTTGTGTAAGAGGTTGCGTAACCAACAGAGTTCGGCGATACAACTAATATACATGTGGATAATAACAGTATAATAATTGAGCTAATAGACTTATGTGGCTAAATGGAGACTCCTACGTGTGCATTCATGGGCATGCATACGTGAGTAACAAACGAGTATGCTAACACGCCCCCACAGTCGAAGCTAGCGGGAGGTCCACGAATGCTAAGATTGGAACGAAAATCTTCAAATAAAATCCGAGGTAGCTCTTTAGTAAAAATATCAGCATATTGATGTCGAGACGGAACATGAAGAACCTTGATTTGCCCGCGAGCTACCTTTTCGCGAACAAAATGAATGCATTTCAATATGTTTAGTGCGTTACGTTGGTGCTGAGCCGGATTGCCGGACAGATAGACAACGCTAATGTTGTCACAATATACAACGGAAGCTTTGTGATGTGGATGGTGGAGTTCGAGTAAGAGGTTGCGTAACCAACAGAGTTTGGCCATTAGCTACACCCCGAGAACGTGAAAGTAAGTTGTCACTCAGGAATACACAATAACCGGATGTGGAGCGACGTGTGTCGGGACAACCACCCCAATTAGCATCGGTATATGCGACGAGGTCGATGATGGGGGAGGTTCGTAGTTGAAGGCCAAGGTGTGGTGTGCCTTCGATGTAGCGTAGAACCCGTTTCAAGGCATGAAGATGAGGCACACGCGGGTCATGCATGAAAAGACATAGTTGTTACACAACTTAGAAGATGTCGGGCAGAGTAAACGTGAGATATTGTAACGCCCCCGCAAGGCTATGGTACATGGTGGCATCCTTAACCGATGGCCTGTCCGAGGCACGCAATTTGGAGTGTGTATCGACGGATGTGGTAGTAGGATTGCATGTATGCATCCTGCCATCCCGGCTCGTTGCAAAATTTCCGAGGCATATTTAGATTGGTGGAGAAACAGGCCGACACTAATGCGGGTGATGGAAATGCCGAGAAAGTGTTGAGAATGATCCAACCTAGGACTTGCATGGTTATATGCACACGTGGCTGCATTGGATTACATGGTTTCATGCATACGTATTATTTGGTTTATTTATATATTAGTTATTTATCTAATGTCATTTGAATAAGTCCAATATGGTTACCTATTGTTTAGGAGCATTTGCTGCATGATAGTGAGTAGTTATGCACGTGTGATCATGGCTAGAAATTAGGAAGTTGTTGTTTTATTTTGTGGCCATTATTTCATGTAATCCAGCTATATAAATCCTAGTTTAACATATGAAGAATGAGAGAGATTTTGATTGCCTTTACTTGTCTCCTACTTCGTGTATAATTCATCCTACATTTGGTATCAGAGCCTGTGTTAGATCCGTTCTATATACACGAAAGAAAACCAAGAAAATCACCCCAATATGCACACCTCAGCAGATGGAAATTCTGTTAATCAATTACCCTTGTTTAAAGGGATTAACTATCATTTTTGGAGCTTGAAAATGAAGACCCTCTTCAAGTCACAAGAACTATGGAGTATGGTGGAAGAAGGGTTTGTTGATGATCAGCTTGAGGAGCCAAATCAAGCCCTTTGAGAGAAAAGGAAGAAAGATGCAATGGCCCTTTTCTTCATTCAACAAGCTCTATATGATGATGTTTTTCCACGCATTGCCGCAACCTCTACTTCAATGGAAGCATGGAGTATTCTCAAGCAACAATACCTTGGAGATAAGAAGGTGATCATGGTCAGATTGCAATCCCTAAGAAGGGAAATGGAAAACACACGCATGAAGTCCTATGGAGAGGAGATAAAACCTCAGCAAGTGGTAAACAAAGTAATGAGGAGTCTTACCCCCAAGTACAACCAGCTTGTGTGTGCTATTGAAGAAGCAAAGGATCTGGAAACCTACACCTTTGAAGAACTCAAGGGATCTCTTCAGGCTTATGAAGAAAGACACAATGGAGAGGCTAAAAAGAGTGAAGAACAAGCTTTTCAGGCTCAAAATGAAGCACCTAGTGGTCAAGCCTTCCAGTTTCCAAACAGGGGAAGAGGAAGAGGCAGAGGAGGTTTCAGAGGAGGTCATGGTGGAAGAGGTAGAGGAAGAGGCTCCTCAAACCATGGAGGTAGACAAGGAAGCCCCATTAAGTGTTATTATTGCAAAAAGAATGGTCATAAGGAAGCTGAATGTTGGAAGAAGAATCCAGAGTTGGCTCCCAGAACAACAGACTATAGGTCTAATTATGCTGAGCAAGAACAATTGTTTATTGCTCATCATAATTCAGATCATAATGGGGGCACAGTTTGGTACATTGATAGTGGTGCTCAAACCATATGGCTGTTTCATAGCTTTTGTTCAGAGAGGCATAACTGAAAGGAATTTCAGCCTTAGAAGGGTTTGATCGCTTTACCTCTTCTTCTTCAGCAGTTTCTTTTGCTCCGACAAACAGCATCAACTTGGTCAGTCCCAAACCCATGTAATTGATGTCATAAAGCTGACGGCAATTTATCTTTTTCAGATTACGAGGGTTTGTGATGCCAAGACCTTCTTTAGAATTGTAAAAACGAGTGTCCTTGTTCTGATTCAGAAAAATTGTTCGCTCATACTGCCCTCTCTTGGGAATTAAATCTTCTAATTCTTTGATTTTTCTATAAAGAGCACTTCTTTGTTTGAAAAATCTGGTGTTGCTGAAGTTATTCTAGCCATCTTGAAGAAGGTCGTGCTTAGATCAAATAGTTTTGCTTGGGATTTTTGTTCAGTTTCCCACAGACGGCGCCAATGTTGAGGTTTAATCCCGTTGATCCAAAAGCCCAACACACGCTTTGGATATTTAAGGATCTTGGTCTTGATATAAAAAGGTGTATAAAATATAAAACAATGAATTTAGATTTACTCAGAAGCTAATTGTAGTATGTAATTCTGTGATTACAATGAAACTGCCCGAACGATAGGTCAGTATGAGTTTAAATACAACACCAGAGAAACGATTCTATTGCTAAGCTTTGAGTATCAAAATGCTAACCCTTTACAATGCATCAAATACTGATATTTATACTAAGAGGGAGTAGATGAGATGGACACGTGGCCAATCCCAGTTGGCTGTTGCCTTTGCCGCCTTTGTACCCATGCTCCCACTTGCTCATGCCATAATTCAACAATAAATGCGGTTCCCACTTGCTGATCCCCGGTCGGGTACCCCGTTCGGAGTGCGGGACCCCTTTATGGGTGTTTGGATGCCAGTTCTTTGTTTAATTGGTTCAAGTGGATAATTCTATCCGAATGTTGTTCAGGTATCCCCCGTTCGGGATGTTTTGGGCCTTTCCGATTGCGTAGGGCTTCCTGTTTTCTGTGGGGCTTCTTTATGCTTTGGGCTGGGGGTATTGGGCTTGGACCCAATATCCCAACAATACCTTTAACAAAGAACGTTTTCATATAACTTTTATATTATAAATCATTTTCAATAAAAAGATATAGCCGGACAAAGTTTTAAAAATGACAATTTTTTTTGGGACGGAGGTAGTATATTTCATATGGTAGTTAATAAATGAAGAAAAAATTAGTATAAAGTCATTACCTTAATTATTCTCCATTTTCCTCACTTTTTCCTTTTTTAAACTTGCTCCTTTGATTTCCTTGAGCTTGACTTGTTCTCAACAATGGAGAAAGAAGAATGGAGAATATTTTCCTCTTGCTTGGTGTATGATGGCCGAAATTATGAGGGAGGGAGAGGTGAGGATAGCCCTTTTTGTCTTATTAATCAAATGAGTGTGGATGGGAGGTCCACCTCATGTACTGTGATGCTTTTCCATTCAACCCAACATCTCCCACCTTCTCCTTTCCATTCCAGCTGCCCACCCTCTTAATTTTCATGACTACATTCGTGGGTTGGCCCCCGCTCATGTGGTAGGTCACCCCTTTAATTCCAGAATTGTAGAATCAGTCCCGAAAGTTGTATTTCTCGGACTATTTTATTTATATTTTATTTTATCGGGTTAAAAAAATATATCACATGCTCCCAATCATAATTGGACTTTAGAAAAAATATACATTCCCCAACTTTAATTTATAAGTCTCCGAATTTTGTTTCAGACTGTTATTTGATAAATCGTCGGTACTGGTAATTGGGCCGCTTTTGACCAATCGGTCAACCATGTGCCTTTCTATGGCCTAAATAAAATATCCACCACCATATAAATATCATTTAGACCAATATGAATAAAATATGTGGTCTCAGGAATATCGGGTTGTAACATCGTCCCCAAATATATTTACTTTTAAGTGAATAATGTATTGAACCTTACGGAATGGTTAATGAATTTACAAAGTTGTGAATTTTTATTAATGCTTTTACGTGAATAGTAAATTTGCACGTGGGACCCACACCGGGAGCAGGGACTGCCCGATATTCCTGAGACCATATATTTTATTCATATTGGTATAGATAATATTTATATGGTGGTATATATTTCATTTGGGCCAGAGTTGATCAATTGGTCAGTTGAGGCTCAATTACGTACCAGTATTGGTAATTTAACAGATAACAACCCGAAATGAATTTCGGAGGCTTATAAATTAAAGTTGGGGAATGTATAATAATTCTAAATGTCATTATGATTAAGAACACATAATATATTTTATTAGACCCGATAAAATAAAATATATTTAAAACACTCCGAAAAATACAACTTTCGGGACCGATTGTATACATCGGGACACAAAGGGATGACCTCCCACATGAGTGGGGGCCATCCCACGTTTTTGTGTGCTTGAGTAGACAAATGTGAGGCTGTTTGACTTGGAAGGAGAGAGGTGAGGTGAGGAGCATCAAAGGTACACCCATGACCCCATTTTCTTCACTCATTGGTCCAAACAAGACAAAAGCCACCCATCCACTCTCACCACCTCCATTCATTAGACCACCACCCTTCAAGCAAGAGAAAACCTCCCAGAAATTTACATTCACCATAGCCAAACTCGTGCTCCAACTCAAACAAGAAAGAAGAAAGAAGTTTGAGGAAGAAAAAAGGAGGAAAAAGCGTGTTCATTAAGGTAATAACCTTATATTAGTTTTTCCTCTATTCTTTAACTACCATATGACTTACATAGCATATGAGGAACCCTTATAGTAGCTCTACATTTTTATAAATGTAGAAGGAAGGGTTGAGAGGGGGTTCCAAGTCCAAGGACGGACATAGGAGCCAAAATAACCGGTTCGCCGGAAAATAAACTTTTAGAGGTTATTTGTATTAATATGGGTTTTATGATTATAATACCTTGTTAGGAACTTGTATAAGGTATTTCAAGAGCTTTCACGGAGTTGAAAGAGTCGCCGGAGTTGTCGCCGGAGTTCATCAAAAGTCGCCGGAGTTCAACCAAGAGGGGGTACAACTTCATAGCGTTAATTCGAGGTGAGAATGACCGACTATATTGCTTATAATTATTGGGTTAATTTCATAAGGTTTCCTAAATGAATAAAAATGTGATTTGCATGGATTATTAATGATTAATAATGCCTAAATGAAATTACTACTGATTATGAGTATAGTATGCATAATGTACAAATTTATGAATAAGTTGGGTATGTTTATGTGATATGAATATGATGGTATGATGATTGTATTAACCATGAGGTTTATTGTGATAAATATACTTTTATTTCATGAGAAGAAGTCATGAAAGTATAAAAGTGATATTTTGATATTAAGGCTAAATTACACATGAATGAGAAATTATATTGAAATGAATAAACAAGTAATATTGAAATATTAGTTGGAAAGGTTAGTTAAATAATTGATGAACTAAATCCTCAGAAATTGAATTGTAAAGAATCGGTGATTATGAGTTGGGCTCTAGACCGATGTAGATAATCGGTGATTACGAGCTGGGCTCTAGACCGATGTAGATAACGGTGATTATGAGCTGGCTCTAGACCTGGGGCAGACCTTCTTTATTCAGGGGTGTTCATGTGAACACCCAAAATTTTGAAAATTAAGTGTAAAAATACATGTATAGAATTAATGTAATAATTTATATATTGTGCTATTAGATAACATCTTAATGGTAAAGTAATTTCGAACACCCAACATTTAGTTGCAAGATCCGTCACTGCTCTAGACCGATGTAAATAGCGGTGATTATGATCAGGGCTCTAGACCGATGTAGGTTATCGGTGATTACGAGCTGGGCTTTAGACCGATGTAGATAATCGGTGATTACGAGCCGGGCTCTAGACCGATGTAGGTAATCGGTGATTACGAGCTGGGCTCTAGACCGATGTAGATAACGGTGATTATGAGCTGGCTCTAGACCGATGTAAATAGCGGTGATTATGAGCAGGGCTCTAGACCGACGTAAGGTGACTAGGAGTAGGACTCTAGCACGGTGAATCGATATTAAATGAACGGGATAACTATAAAGTAATAATACCCTAGATTGAGGGTCTAGAAATTGAAACATTGATTATACTTAGTATAGTTGTCATTGTACTTTTCAAATGCTTCAAAGTACTGACCTCCCCTTCACGGGGGGGCCACCTCACAGTTTCAGGTAGGACTTGAAGTTGCTACCATTGCCCGTTGCCCGGAAGGATTCAACGAGAGAAGACTTGGTTCGTGCTTTCTCCGTTTCTGTTTCAAAATCAATATGAATAATGCTCATGGATATTATTTTCTGAATAATCATTTTGAAGGCTTGTATGCCCATTATTGCCAAGTGTGGCTTGAACACTTGTAATATTGCTTCCGCTGCCTTAATGAATGATTTTACATTATGTTAGTTTATGGATGTACTACGTGTGAATGATATTCCAGATGCCTCGTATAGTATGAATGTGTTGAACTGCGGTTGACTATTCGTACTGTACGGCGGGTTGTTGACGTGTCCGGTAGGTCCGGGGCGTGACTTGGGTGGCCCCCGCTCCCGGTGTGGGTCCCACGTGCAATTTACTATTCACGTGAAAAAAATAATAAAAATTTACAACTTCGTAAATTCATTAACCATTCCATAAGGTTCGATACATTATTTTCTTAAAAGTAAATACAATTGGGGACGGTGTTACAAAAACAGTAGAAGGATCCATTTGATAATTTACCCTTTTTAATAAATGACATACATCAGTTTTAACCGGTAAATTACCGCTTAGGAAAGTCATTTGCACTAGATCGTCGAGTTGGAGAATTTAAATTGGTTGGAGCTTTTTTTAATGTAAGGGGTGATATACACTATATCGCCGAGTTGGAGATCCTGGTGGTCCTTTTTTATAATTCAGGAGGTGATCGATTTCCAGTGTTAATGTTAGTTTGATGGCTCACCATTTGATACTTTTCCCTTGTTCAAATCAAGAAGAAAATATGAAGGATGTTTGTGTTTTTCAATTTTTATGAACAAACGAGTGAACATATTTTCCTATTTCAATTCAGTTTCTCTAGTTTTCCAATTTTCAAGAGAAACGTAGAATATTGCATGCTTTTAGTAAACGGGCAAGCTAGCTAGCCTCATGATCAATTTCCTAGTAATAATTAATAAAAGTGCAATATAGAGTAGTGTATTTGAATTGTACTACGTTACATACTTAGCTCAGCTCCTTGCCGGCCCAATGACATATATATATGTTCACCTTGCTAGTGAGCTGAGGGGCAGCTATAAGTAATAAAGTATGGTATAATTAAAAGTATATATAGGTCGGCCATGTATCCAGGCATGTATAGCAGAAGCCGGTAGCTAGAGCTAGAACTGGCTGCCCTGGTAGGTCTGACCGAACTGCCAGCCAGCAGGAGCGGCGTTATAGGAGATGACAGTTCGACGATCACTGGTAGTGACTTTGAAAGAGAGGGATTGACCGTTGAGGTTGGCATTACTCTGCCAGTTCTGCCCCCAGTTTCTTGTCATAGAAATCCAACCTGTCTTTGATCCTTTTATGGACATAGCGTGAACGTCACCCGCCCCTCCAACGTTTGTGACCAGGACCAGGTTGAAGTATGTGTGTCCGTTGATTGTGAACCTTATGCCTCCCTTTCTCTCGCACGGTACCCTTCCATAGTTCCATTCCACCAAAATACAAAGTTAGCTTGCTATGAACTTTAATCAAGTACTGTATATATGATTAGCAAGTGATGAGTGAGTAATTACCTTCTGTAGGAAACAGAAACAACTCCAACCTGGCTTTGTGCAAGCTGTGTGAAAGCAGGCTCAGACAGATCAAAGTGCTGGTTTGGAGGGCTACACCAGCTGCCAGGAGGGCAGAAGTTTGTGGCCGTCACAGTAATAATGGATCCTGACTTGCAATTCTCATTACCCACACACTTGACCTCGAAACAGGCTCCACAGCTCAGCCCATTGTTAAACAGAGGGGTGCTTAGTGCGGTAGTAAGAATCCCGTAGCCTGTGCTGTATAAGTTTCCATATCCACACGCTCCCCCTGCACGCCCACATGTATATTTATGTCAAATTATTAGCACGGAAATGTACGTCAAATCCGTATCAAATACATTTTGACATGAAATCATCCCTCAGTCCCTACTATTCCCATTTTTTTATTTCCTTGTGATGCAATGTCGCCTCCATTATCCCTGAATAAACTATCCACGTTTTATTTTACGAATGCCTCTAATAATTAAATAGACTTCTCTTTCCATATTTGATAAACAAATTTATACTCCATCCATTTCAAAATCAATGACACACTTTGATTTCACAAAAATTAAGGGAAAAAAACTACCTAGGAGTAAATTTTGCTGTAGACTAGACTGTTTTGTCACACTGTTTTGTACTTTTGATATATATTTGTTTATGGAGTGTGACATTCATTTTAAAACATTCAAAAAAAGGAAATTGTGACATTCATTTGAAAGAAGGGACTATTAAATTATTCTATTACCTCCCCATTAAATAATAATGACCAAAACAATGCACAAAGCGCGGCAGTACGTGCCGGGCCGTCCAATGAATTTGGAGGCGCCGGTTCAAAATCGTCAAAAATTTTATATAGGAAGGTGGGAGGGAGGTATCCATACCCATTGTTCCAGTAGCATCGCTCCCGCCATAGAATGTGGCACGGGCATTGATCCATCCATCCTGCCCATGAACCTGCCGCAGCAGCGAAAACATGGCCACCGCCATTCCCGCAAGTTCAAACCCCGCCGCCGTCATTTTTTTTCAGCTTAGGTGATCGAAGAGATTATTGATGACAAGCTACAAAACTTGAGAATAATAAATAGACAATAAATCCGGCCAGGCCGGGTGGCGAATTCATCATCATTAATTTTCAAAAGTAACTTTTAATAAACATCAATTTTCAAAAGTAATAACTTTAAAAGTATAGACCTGGCCTCTTTTTCCATCCTAATTAACCTAAACATCAAATTAGCCAGGCGTTTTCTAAACTTAATTACTACGGAGTATATGTAAAAGGGATATGTTTTTCAATAGCTTTACTTTTACCGCAGATGTAGCGCCACGGCGTTGCAAAAGTAATCACTCACCAGGAATTGAATTATGATCCAAGAACTTGACTATATGTGAAACAAGGAATTGCGTACATCTTAGCTAGGAAAACAATACAAAAGCAGTGTGATCAGGCGGGTTTAGACTTAAAAGTCTATGTCTGTTGTCGGGAAAAGGGACAACATAGTTAGATTGTCAAATCACCCGCAACGGTCTAAGTCATCAGACACTCCAAAAAAATTGTCTTATAGTAACACTTTTAAATTGTATAGTTACATTTCATAGTTTTGTGACTCACCAATGTCAAAGTCCATTGTCACAAGCATTTTGTTCTATCAATTTTTTTTGTTTAATCAAATTTTAACACTTCAGAGATGAGCATTAAATGTTAACACCTCATAAATGGACTTTATTTTCTTTCTACATTAAATTTACTTCTGTCGACTCGATCCAACAAACCGCATCCTCTTCCTACATAGAACTCTAGCGCAAATGACATATACACTAACCAGAATGCGATTAATGAGGTGAGTATGGATCGACTCGTTCATATCGATCAAGAGTAGTTATCATTCCTTTCGTTCTATGAACCAATGGCCGAGGTTCCAATAGGGTTAGGGAAGCCTTGGCCCTCCAAACTTTTTTATTGTTTAATTCTATGTACTATTAGTATAGTCTAATAGATCAGTATTTCAGGAGTATGTGAAGGATGCTCGGTAGTTCATTTGTGACATTGTGAAGGGTCTTCAAGTTTTTTTAGGGAAAAATACTCTAATATCACTATAAAAAAACTCATGACTTCTCCAAATATATTTTTTACATCACATACATGGCCGGATGGAACTATGAAAATAAATGACCGCTTATAATCTTATGCATGTACAAACTAATTCCTTTTAAGGAACATTAATTAATGCAACCTAATGCATGATTTAATTTCTCCTCGTCATTAATAAGGATATGCTGCAAAAGAGAATTTATTGCTTGAAAAGCATACACCGATAATTGAGGTAGTAAAAAATGGTGACTGTTGAGCATAAGTAGTAATTAGAGGACAATAAAGAAATGAGCAGTAAATTAACACATTGAATATATATATAGGATGAAAGCACACAAATTACACTGCAGTACAAATGTGATGGTCCCAAGTGAGATAAAAATCTAGGGGGTGAATAGACTTTTATATCCTTTTTATTAGTCAACTCTTTTCCCTCTAACTGAGTGAGTTTGAATATCTTTTGGGAGATATTGAAACATTCAACGTAAGTCTTGACCTCAAGAGTGTGACACTTTATAGTAACAAATGTTATGACCCTTTAGTTGGATGTGAGATGACTTGAGCAAAGTACAGGTGTGTTAGCAAAAATTAGCTTTGTTCAGGCTGCCGAACTTTAAGGAGCAGGCTGCCAAACTTCTGGGAGCAAGCTGCTGAACCTCCTAGGAGCAGGCTGCCGAATGAGGCTGCTACATCAATGTTTTGGGACACAGAAAAGAACTATGACTTAGGACATTGCTTGACTTTTCATACAAAAATTGAACACATAGGTATGAAACATTTAGACCTATTTAGATATAGATCTCTTTGAGAAATAAGGAATAAGGAATAGGGAGGTTGATATGTAGTAAACTGGGCATTTTGCTGGTCAGTGTATGAGTAAGCTGTTTGTCTTGGATAATTGCGAAGGTGGATGAGAACTGTAGTGTGTTGTGGGAACTGAATATAAGGTGACACAAGATATATCCTGCTTCAGAGGTGGTGTAATCCTCCAACATCCAGTCTCAACCTAGCTACTTCAGATGGATTTCCACTAAATGAATATACTCATTACATTTAGTACCCAATCTACCCTTGGCCGCGGACATAGATTGTGAGGTTTTTCACAATGAATTTGAATATCATTCCAAGCTACTCAATCCTCCGAGGTTTTTCACTAATCGTATTGACTTGCCAGAAGTTACTCATGTCCTTGCCCTTCACATACATTCTGGATTTGATCACAAAGCCCTCCAGAGTATTACACACTAGTCTAGTTTACATGAGCAAAGCTAAACTACCAACTAACTAAGCTTTATAGATGTATATGAATTTGAGCTATTATAAGATCTTAGGTGATTGGGGTGAGAACTAAGAGGGTGAAGGAAGATCATCACTTTGTGTTGCTGGATATGTCAAATGATTTCATCTTCCTTCTTAGCTCCACACTTGTTCTTCAAGCACTCCTTCTGTATTTAAAGACTTTTTTTGTTGAAGCTCCACCGTTGGCAGAAGAGTTTCAATCTTGACTGTTGCTTTGATCCACCGTTGGCAGAAAATTAAAGTTTCAATCTTGACCGACTGAATAGGCAGCATGGTTGATTTTTGTCCTTTTGTGGCACAGACTGTTTTTCACTCAACTTGTATTCCTCATCTCAATGTAAAGATAAAGATAGAATAGTTGTTCAATGCTTCCTTAGAATAAAAATTACTTGCTTTTAGTAAAATAATGTTATAAGAAATTTTTATAAGATGGTAAAAATTTCTTATTAAATAACTTTCTATCTTTTTGTCATTTTGACTGCAAGTTGGTCTTTTGTTCTATTGTTTTTGTGCTTTAAGAATTGTAAAATTTTTTATAAGATGGTCATTTTGTCATTTTGACTGCAAGATGGTAAAAAATTGCTTTTGGTCTTTTGTTCAATAACTTTCTATTGTCATTTTGACTACAAGTAGTTTTCGGTGGCATTGTCTGGAAAACTAAGTCGGGAGCTGACGAGCAGCACTATGTCGTAGTGCGTCAAAATAAATTCGATACTAACACTTATACAGTTATACGTAGTACAGTGAAGTAAAGTTCGTATCCACATGGAAAAAATAATTCTCTTTTTATGAAACTAGTAAATAAGGGGGGGTTGGGATTGTTGGAATTTAATTAATTTAAACAACAAGTTGAACGACTTATGATGGAGTATATGGCCCAGGGACCCCCGGCCCACAGGCTCCTATATCTCCTGCACAGGCCTAATGAGCCCAATACACGCCCAGGGCCCAAATACAGCGGCCCAAGTGTCAAGAAGCCCACAATACACATAGGGGTGCCTTCGGCCTCCTTGACTGAGGGCTCCAAACGACACAGGGCAGCCAGATTTGAGCATGCAAAGCTACTGGGAGAAAATGGCAGAAAACAGGAGCCTTTGGCACTTCCGTGCCTTCGGCATCTGGGAAGCCTTCGGTTGAACAGCGCCCTCAACTACACGGAGCCCTCGTCCGCAGGGGGAGCCTTCGGCCAACAGCTCAATCATCGAAGATTCCCTTTGGAGACAAGCAACCACCGCATTTAATGCGGCGTCACATCCACCCACCGCATTCAATGCGGTGCACATGCGAATGTCAGTGCCACCCGATTGAGGTGACCCCTCGGTCGTTAGATTATCGCCACGTGTACTCTCACCGCATTTATTGCTGCTATAAATAGCACCCTCTTTTCCCATTGTAAAGGACCAGAACATCTCGAGTTCATTAATACAATCGCCTCTCTCTCTCTCTCCTACTTGTTTGCTCTGACTTCTCTCTAGGTTATTCCCGCAATAACCCCTCGGATAAGCTACCCCCGGGTACACTGTCCATCAAACTTATATGAGTTTTAATTCATATATAAAAAGGATTTGGCTTTGCTACTTTCCACTTGTTGATATGTTTGTTGATCATTGTTATATCTATAACTTATCCTCTCTCGAATACTCAATCGAGGAGTATCTCCAATTCATCGAGGGTAGTTATTAACAACGACCGTTCATTTATAACCCTTACTATTAGCCAAGTATAGAACACCGCCATATACAAACTTGATAGTAACTTTTACTCTCTTAACTCCTTGATAAAATTAATTGAGATTGATAACCTCAACACAACGATTTTGGTTTAACCAACACAATTAATCCCTCTTAAGATTATTAACCATGACCGTGCATTAATAACCTGAAGTTACTTACTTGTGAAACCATCAATGATTAACCATCAGTTCATTGATCGTTTCTAGTAGTAAATAATGTCGAGATGTTAACTAATTTTCATCTTAGCAACGCTCCCCAACATTAATATAGAGATAGATTAAGGGATGAATTAATATTCAAGAAAAGAAGTAAGAAAATAACTCACAACTTAAGCATTCAACAAGCTTCAAGAGCAAAATCAAGAAATGAGAGTTTAGCTCCTCATTTGGAGACTAAACGTGCTAGAAAATATAAGGAAAATACTATTCTAAGTTGAGCTTAAGTATATGGAAGAAGGGATGAATATTAGTGAAGGAAAAGTGTGCTATTTATAGGTGTTTTTCAACACCTTTGGCCCGGTACCCGACTAGGTAAAATCATATACCCGACCGGGTATCGGTCAAAATCAAATATGTCCAACGTTCTTGTGTTTCAGCACGTCCGATTGTTGCGGGTCACTTATCACCCGACCGGGTGACATACCTCACCCGACCGGGTGACATACCTCACTCGACCGGGTGAGTGTCCAATTTCCTAGTAGCTTCCGTTTTCACTTCCAACCCGACCGGGTAAAGAGTATACCCGACCGGGTAGGTCATCTGGGCAATTTTCTTCACTTCCAAGTGCTCTTCTTCAATATCACAAATCCTAACTCTACTTTACAACTTTACAAATGAAAGCTAAAATACAATTACAACTACAACCACACAAATGCTTACAAACTAAATAATAAAGGTAAACAATCCATAGAAAACAAACATAAAAACATACATTTATGCGCTGCTAACTAGTGCACATCAGGAGCCGGCTGAAGTTGACTCTTTTCGTACATTTTTGTTTTGATTCTTTTCTTTTGTTTTTGGTACGTTTCTTCTCTTTTTAGTACTCTTTTTTCTTTTTATGAGTACTTTCTTTTTCAATAAAAAGTAGAAATAATTACATAAATATGA